GCCGAAAAAGTCAGCGCAAAATACCCCAGAAAGACAGAAAAGCACGCGGTTAAGTTAGCAAAACCTGATTCTGCCAGTGATCACTGTTATTAAGTGTTACACTCTGTGGCGTCACACACTTTATGGCTGGTAAGACCAAGGTCGTCCGATGTAGTCTGCTCAATTCATCCAGAAAGCAGTAATCATTTCTTAGTATCATGCACTTCTACATACACTTGTGCATACACTGTGCAAGTAACTCATGGAGTTGACTGGCAGTAGACCAGGGTATGCATATGTGCCCTTTATTTGTACTGTTTTGTCTGTACCCACGGTTGCTGCCAGTATACTAGTACTAGTATACCGAGTACCAGCGGGCAGTTGTATTTAGTGCTGTGCACTACTTGTATATGCTATGCAGTTACATTGACTGTTGCTGCAGTGTCCATGTAAACATGGTAGTCTAATAGGTGTATGTATGTTGTCAGCTCACACACACACACACACACACACACACACACACACACACACACACACACACACACACACACACACACACACACACACACACACCTTGGACCTTGGACGCGCTGCAATATTCTGGCTATGCGGACCCCATGGGGGGTTGAGCAGGTTCGGAACAGTAGGGGCGATGACGGGATAGGTCCTGTGGTCTACTGAAACGCCGACCGCAATTGCAAACGATGCAGAAGGAGCTACGGTCTGTGTTGGTTGCTCTGGCCGAGCCACGGCTGTACTTGTGACGTTTCATGCCTTGGCGCGATAGCACACAGCGGTTGCAGCGGGCACAGTGGAAGCTGCAGCGTTCGCAGGACATATTGTTTGTAACCGGTGACTCAAGTGTGTCAGAAGATGCCTCTGCTGTTGATGTAGGTGGCGAGCACTTGTGTCGGGCAAATCCACCCTTGCTCCGGAACCATCTGTCGCACTGATCGCAGTGACAGCTTCCTGGCTGTTGGCTTACGGGTAGGGCACGCGTAGCTGTACACTTGTGTCGCTTCCTGTCACTTACACGACTGAAGGAGCGGTGACAAGTTTGGCACACAACCGGTGATGGTCGAGGTCTGTTCTGCTTTTCTGGCAGACAACGGTAAGCCTTGCGCCATTTGGAGCGGGAAGAGGTGGCCACTTCATACCAGTCGTCAAGTGGTTTGACGTCACTCCGAACACAGTCTCGCCACCTTTTCCGCGGACCATGGGCAGGTCTCTTGTTTGGAAACGAACCGAACAGTAGAGCCTTCGGGATGCGCTCATCCTCCATCCTTGCCACATGACCAAGCCACTCAAGGCGACGTCTGCTGAGACGACACTCCATGCCCAAGGTATCTCCCCAGCGCTCCAGAACTTCAACATTAGTTATCCTGTCATTCCATACATCTTGACGACTGATGCCCAGAATGGTGCGGACACAACGGAGATAAAAGACAGACAACGCATGAACATCAGCCTGTAGCGTTACCAAGCATTCGGACCCATAGAGCAGAGTCGACAGCACACAAGCATTGTACACTGACCGTTTGATGGATATTGGCAGTGTTACATCGTGGACTATCGATTTCTTCAGAGCGCCAAACGCTTTGGCAGCTTGTGCGATCCGGGATGTGACATCATCATGACATCGGCCGTTGCTGTGTATGTTGGATCCAAGGTAACGAAAAGACGACACATGGGCAATCTCCATAGTTCGAATCGCGAGCGGCTCTAGATCGTCGTTAGAGATGTTGGGGCCAGAGACCATGAACTTGGTTTTGGTGGCACTGACGGTGAGGCGAAAATCGCTGCATACATCCACAAATACCTCCAAGGCTGAAACTGCGGCCTGGCGTGTCGCGGCCACAAGAGCGGAATCATCAGCAAACTGACACTCTGTCAGCTCCAGGGATCTATCACGGCGGCTACGGTGGTGGAGTAGCTTCCCATCTGGCTCGAAGAAGACCTTTGCGCCTACACCAGGGATAGGCTGCACGTGCTGGCGCCAACAATGCATCACTGCCCACATAAAGATGTTGAATAGGACAGGGGCCATGCAACGTCCCTGCCGCAAGCCATTCGTCACAGGGATGGGGTCAGCTTCAACATTCGACAGACGGAGAGTTGCGGTAATGCCATCATGGAATGCACGGATAACAGCGATCAGCTTCTCGGGGACGCCAGCTTTTCGCAGTACTAACCACAGACACTCTCGCGGAACTGAGTCATAGGCTTTCTTCAGGTCAATGAAGATGAAGAAACACTTCTGCTCATGCTCGTAGCTCTTTTCGATTAGTTGCCTTGCCGCAAAGATCATGTCAGCACACCCACGTCCTGTGCGGAAGCCGCATTGAGAGTCTGGTAGCACATCGTCTAGTTTATCCGCAAGTCGGCTCTGGATGACGCGAGCAACCACTTTACCAATAACGTCTAGGAGAGCTATGCCTCGCCAGTTGTCACATTCTGCAAGGTTACCTTTCTTGGGGATAGGCACCAGCTGCGCGTTGACCCAGTCGCCAGGAACACTGCCACTTTCCCAGACTGAATGGAGAAGCTCCAGTAGGTGGTCAGTAAACAGATCTGGACAGGCTTTGAGCATCTCCGGCAGGATTCCTGACTGACCTGCAGCTTTGCCACTTCGACATTGCGTGATTGCCTGCTGTAACTCCAACAGATCAGGCGGCGCAACCAAACTATCCAGACACGGCATTTGTGGAACACAGTCCAGAATACTGGAATTGAACGTACTTTGCACATTCAGAACACCAGAGAACTGACGGCCCCAACGTTTGCCCTGGTCTTCGGCAGATGCACATGGATTTCCGCTCTCGTCGTTGATCGCAGCAGTTGTGATGCGGGTCGGGCCTTGTTCGACTGTTTGTAGTGCACGAACACATTTCCACACAGTTCGTCGTGAGAATCTTTGTGCATTGGCGAGCTCTGCCTTGGCTGATATCCAGTCACGTTTAGCCTTCCGCACTGCGGCACGCGCTTGACTGCGAGCCTGTTTGAAAGCAGTGTGATCCCTAGGACGTTGATGTTGAAGCCAGAGCGCGTGCAGCCGATTTCGTTCCTGTAACAGGGGTGCAATTGTCGGGCCACTGTCCACATACCAATCAGGTTGTTTACGCTTGCGTTGACCAAGAGTGTCCGTTCCGGCAGTGACAACAGCATCGCGGAGGACTTTCCACTTTTCATCTATTGGATCATGCGGGCGCCAATGTGTTGATACGAGAGTGCACACCGCGTCTTGATAAGCAGACAACGGGGTTGCGTCATCATCAGGGTTGTTGTTTGCATCGGCAGAAAGAAATAACTTGGACGTGTCGAATCGACCCTTGCTACGTTGCACACGCACAGCTTGCGGGTTGACAGAGTGGTGATACGTGCCAAGAAGGAAGCGTGCACAAAGCAGTTGATGGTCACTGCCACACTATGCACTTGGGATGATCTGAGAAGCCATGCACAGCATCCTATCACACTGGCCAGTATTGATGTAGTCAATGCAATGCCATTTCTGTGACTTGGATGTTGCCAGGTTGGTTTGAGATTTTGTCTCTTGTTGTGCCAGGTGTTACAGATTGTAGCATTGCACACATTGCCAGGAAATCTAAAAGTTCCTTTCCAGAGGAGTTCATCTCCCCAAAGCCATGAGGGCCACGCACAGTGCACCACTCATCCCTAGACTGCTCAGCATGGCTGCCACGAGTGCCAACTCGCGCGTTGAAGTCTCCGAGTAGAACGTATCTGTCACCACGAGGGACGTCGTCAATCGCTCGCTGCACGGAGTCGTAAAAGTGCTCCTTCTCCGATCGAGTGCTGGCGAAAGTCGGAGCGTACGCCACAATAACAGTGTACCAGCGTACAGCACGCTGGACTTTGAACTTCAATCGTACGGTGACAAGGCGAGAGCTGTACGCTCTCCAGACACAGCCTCCTGCTTTCCAAGCGTTCGTTGAATTCAAATTCAAAACGACAGCAACACCTTCTCCTCGTCGACGACTGGAGTCCTCCGAAGGAACAGGACGACCCGATGTAAGGATAGTAGAGCCACCAACAGGATATGATTGTTCACCAAACCAATGTATCTCCTGAAGTCCTGCAATATCCACAGCCAGACGCGAGAGTTCCGCGATGACCCGTTCGATTTTCTTATCCTCCACGACTTTTCCAGTTACAGCTGCAGTTTCAATTGGGCCTGAGCTTTCCACAAGTGACCGGACATTCCAGGTGCCCACTGACAAATAACGTCTACGTCCTGTACTGTTTCGAACCTGCTCATCTCGTGCAGTCGCGGACGTTCGGGGGTTGCAACTCCTCACCGAACGAAGGGCGCGCGGAGAAACTTGAGGTGGCAACATCATGCGAAGCCCTGGTCCTCAAGAATCTTAGTCCGCGACCCTATCTACTTCACCAGGTCCTGAACTAACCTGGGACGACCCTGGACAAGGCCAGAGCCGCCCCAGAGTGGGAAATTCTTGAGAAAACTTCCAAAATTCGAGAGCTCAAAAACTACCAACTACCCTCACCAACTGCAACACACACACACACACACTCACAGAGTCACAAAGGCAGTATACTATGCAACGAACACCTAGCCTGCAGGATACCAGTTGATCAGCTATGGTAGATGTATGATGTGTTGACATGTCATGTCGGCATGGTGACGGCTTTTCCAGGGTAACTGGAGCTGCGAAAGAACTCAGTTCTGATTTGACTTGCTTACTTCATGGTGAAACAATGTTAGTATGAAAGGGAGGATGGCCTCTGCATTGTAACTGGAGCTGCTGAAGAACTGTCTGCTTGATGTACTTAGTTTTCTGTTGTTGTGAATCAATGGCAGTATGAAAGGGAAGAATGCCCCACATAATCAAATTATAGATATGAGAAATGTTGCAGAGCATGTGATTTCAGCAGACGTGTCACATGATTGGCAGACACTGGTTTGAACAGTGCTAGGATAAAAAGTGCTATTGAAATTTTTTGCACTGACACTCAGTTCATGACCACAGATACGTAGCGTGCAGGTAATGTGGTGCAACTTCAAGAGATTCAGTACTGAGACGATATGCACGTTGTACAGATGTATGAAGTTCTGTACTAAGGTCGTAGGTGTGTACAGACCCGGCTGGGTGTTCATTGTGTGCTATGTATGCGCATTTGACCAATTTCAGCCTCATAATTAGTAGCAAACAATCGCTTTTCCAGCTTCTTCACTTTAGTTAGAACTAATAACTAGCTAGATCTTTGTCAGAAAAAGGTTTTCGTAAGAAATGCCTTCAGGGCCCATTTCTTAGTGGAAATAGCAGTAAACACAATAGGGTCGTGTACATTCAACACCCAACCGGGTCTATGGGATTCTACGAGATCCTACGGGATTTCGTGCATCTGTACAACGTGCATAAGGCTTATACCATCCTCTCCTAAGGTTTAATTTTGCTCAAATTCACAGCAGTCAGTTAAATTCCAACGAAATTCTTGTGCTCAAATGGTCCTGCTAAACTGTTCATGTTGAAATTCTGGTGCTGAAATAGGATTATTCTGGGTGTTGTAGACTAGCTAAACCCAATTCATCTTGAACATCTTTCCCATTCTCTTGAATAAATTCTTCCTCATATCTACATCACATGTATTGTGCTTTGTTCTGGTGTATGTGTATTGTGCAGCTGATAATGGCCAGTACGCAGCAGCACTAAGTGAGCTGATCAAGAAAGGTGTCCAGCTGATACCGTACGGGCGCCTGATAATGTGCGGGCCGGGCCGCACAGGCAAGAGCAGCTTCCTGCGATCCCTCCTGCGTCAAGCATTCATGTCAAAAGTCGATAGTACCATCGGTGTGGAGCTGGAGAAGGTGATATGCACGATCGAGAAGCAAGGGTTAACATATGTCTGGAAGCAAGCTGAAGATTCTTACCAGCAGCAGTTGGCCCTGACACACAGAGCTGTTGTACAAGAAAGGAGGAAAGAGATAGTAGCAGCACTGAGACAACAAGGTGTGGAGGTCCCAAACAACACCAGGTCCACATCCTCCGTGCCGTCAACACCCGTGACATCACCATCCGCTGTGATTGAGACTGAGCAAGCAGATACAGCCAGTGTGTGTGAATCTGCTGTCAGCCAACGTGATGAAGCCACCCACAGCGGGTACTCTGGTCAATCAGCTACCAGTTCATCCGAAACCATGGACTCTCAGAATGTGTCCACTGCATCCAAGCCGGAGGAGGTCTCAACCATGAGTGTAGAACATGTAGCAACAGCAGAGCAAGATGTGCAGCAGCTACAGACGGAAATCAACTCAGCAACGCAGAAGTTTGAAGGCTTCCTTGAAGATCTGAAGAAGGGCAAAAGTGAAGTTTTCACTGCAGAGCATCTGAAGAACCTGACATTCATAGATGTCTGGGACTTTGCTGGTCAGAAGCTGTTTGCAGCGATCCAACACATGGTCCTGGCCTGTGATCGGTGTGCATATGCTGTCGTCTTTGATTCCTCAAAGAAGCTCCAGGACAGAGCGAAGCCGACGTTTGGTGTAGACGGTGAGGAACTGCCGCTTTCCAACAGCCTGGAGCAGACCAACTTCGACGTCATGGAGACATGGTTCAACGCTATCCACGAGGTCATTGGAGACAGCGACAACGTACCCGTGTTTGCCATTGGCACACATGTGGACAAGCTACCAAAGAAGCCAGAAGCAAGGAAGAAAGCAATTGAAGAGACTGAGCAGTATATCTGGGCCAATGCGGAGGGTAAAGCTTATGCTAACAACATCGACAAGGTGGTATTTGTGGACAACACACGAGCTGGCAAAGACCCGGAAGACCCAGCAGTTGTTCAACTACGGCAAGACATCATCCAGCAGCTGCAGCATCAGTTCAGCGTTCCTATTCCACTTCGTTGGCTTCCTGTAACCATCTCCATAGGGCACATTGCAAAATCATTCGAACGACCATGGGTATCGGTTGACGAGCTACGTCGCTTGGCTATTGCTGTTGGTAGCATCTCCAGTGATGATCCTGAGTCAGATTTCCAGAAGATGGTGAAGTTCCACCATGATCTTGGTCATTTGCTTCACTTTATTCACAATGCCCGTCTTCGTGATCGTGTCATCATCGACATCCACTGGATTCTGAAAACCATGTCACTTCTCTTTTGTCCTGAACCGAAGAGTAAGCAGAGCAAGCGTCTTCGTCCACAGTACGACTTGCTGACACAGAATGGCATCCTCCTGGAAAGTCTTGCCATCCACCGCTGGTCGCAGCACAATCGTATGACATCGCGCTACACGGCCACAGAAGAACAACGTGATTTCCTGTTTGAGATGGGTGAGCACTTTGCACTGTTCTACAACACCAAGACAACTGTGAATGTGCCTGGTCAGAGGAAGGAGGTGACGACTCGCAAGTTCTTTGTACCAGCTCTGGTGGAACGAGTTGCACGTCTTCAAGATGAAGCGAGCAAAGGCAAGCCATGCCCAGCAATGTACTTGTACAGTGGTGCAGATCGTTACTTTCCACAAACCCTGTTCTGGTGTGGTGTTGTGAGGTGTATGCAACGCTACAGTCCAAAGGTGGATCCCATCCTCCATCACACGTCAGCACGTATTCTGGTGAAGGATCGCTTCTGGCTTGTCATGCAGTATTTCCAGCATGGCATTCGCCTGTCACTTGAGATTCCTGTCGCAGCTGGCACAGCTAAGTCTTCTACTAGCAATGCTGGTACTCGCACGGATGAGTCAGTTGGCTCTCCTCGCGTTGGTAATGCAGCAAGCAAGGATAAGTCCGCTGCAGCCAAGATTTGTCACGAGCTTCTACCGTACCTGGAGTCGGAGCTTGACAAGCTGAAGGCATTCTCCCTGACTCACGTGAAGTTTGGCAGGGCTGTTCGCTGTCCATGCTCGTTCAGCCGAGATGCGTGTCGCAAACACAAGCATAAGTCTTGTGCAGAGATTGGCTGTCAGCACTTTGCTCCATTGGTGGAGGGATCGCGTCCACGTTGTCCTAGTGGAGCACGTCCAGAAGTGGACATCAGTGATGTACGGCAATACTGGCCATGCTTTGCCGAAGACACACAGGTAAAATGTAGGTCATCATTCAGTTTTCCGAAATATATTTTCCCCGTGCTTTGGGTGTATGGTCTGGTCCACTCGAGAGTATGTACAAGGCCAGTCCATGTTAGAATGGTGCAGCTGTTAGGACTGTGAGGGCAAGTTCTGATTTTCAGTTGCCCTGGGCTGGAAATGTTTCTGAATCTACCAACTCGAGCACCAAGCACTCTGACCTCTAAGCCGAACCAGTGTAGGCAATATTGTACAGTACAGCATGCATTCGCTGGCTCAGGGTTTGCTGTTTCCATGACAACCACCTTGTGATGAGAGACACCGGCATGCACGTACACATTATTATTATGTTATGATTTTGTTGAACCGTGTCGACAAGTACATCAAACCGAAATCTTTGAGAAAAGATTTCCCCTGATTTCATTTCTCCATAGTGTAAAGCCGGGAACTTTCGGTTGTGTACTATTTTCGGTATTTCCCAAAATCAACGGTTTGGTAGAGCGAAAATTTCGGTAAATCAGTTTTCCAGATCCAAAAATGCAGTTCTCACACTGTGTGGCATGGCATTGTTGAATTTTAGTTCCCGTTTTATTTTAGGTAACAATTACCTGTACTGTAACAGGCAGGCATAGTGGGATGGTCTAAGACCATGATTGAGAAACAGAGGGTACCAGGTTCAAGTCCTGCTTGGAAGCGGAAGGAATTTTTCCAGCCGTGCTGCGACCCACAGTTAATTGGGAACTCGTGGCCTGGCACGAGGGTAACATGGATGCAGCTAATGGGATTTCGGTCTTTGACCACTTGGTGGTGGGTCTGATCTACTCACCTCCCACCGTTTAGGAGCTGCATCTGCGCCTTGATCCTAGAGGGTGGTGGCGTTCCCACGGCGGATGCGGAAAACTCGGCTTCCAGCCGAGTCTCACGCGAACCGTGAAATTTATTATTATTTTTTTTATTTTTACCTGTACTGAAGTTACTGAAAATAAATCTGCTCCTAAATTTTCCCTTTTCACAGTAGTGCTTGATACCCGGAATGAGTACAAGTATATTTTGCTGCACTTGCAAGACAATAGCAATAGAAACATAAGGAGTTGATGTGGACAAATGCAATAGGGCTTGAAAATGCTATACCGCAGTCAGGCCAGGGTCATGACAGCGCTGAATTTACGATCCAATTGTATCTAGTTTTGTATGGATCCATGCACATTTGAGTTGTTTCCTTCTCCGTAGGGTGACAAATCTACCCAAACTGACTGTACTGCTCCCAACCCCCCAGTAGTGGGGACCAACTTCTGGCACTGAATCCAATTCAGGACGCCTGCACTTGACACAATGAGGGCCTACCTGTCAGATATGTACTTTGCTATACTATCGGAGTAGATTGCCCCAGAAGTCGTTATCTGTTTATCTGTTGAGTTCTGACTTCATCATTTTTAATCCTGTTCAAGTGTATAAAAAGGAGGATGGGGGATTGGCTGGTGTAAATAATTCTATTTGTTTTCACGCCACCTTGCTGTGTTTCGTTGATTCTCTCCAGACCACAGAGCTTGCTGATCCGGAGAAGCCAATGCCGGCAATGCCAATGACAGCTGTGGAGCCCGCAGTCAAGGACAGTGGTGAGATTATTTCAGTAAAGTGTTCAGTTTAAAATATACCCTGGAAAGTACAGTGCTGCTCAATGAAATCCGGTCACGGGAATCAAGTATGTGCCTGGCGCTGTGCAACCCTAGACCTGCAAACCGTGACTGGTTTGTGACCTAGTGCAGTGCACTGACTACTTACTTGACTCACTTGATCGGATTTCATTGAGCATTCACTGTGGAATACGGGAATGGTGTTTAGTGTACGGATCACGCAGGGCAGGACACACAGGAATTGACCATAATGTCGGGTACGAAGGCAGACTATAAGTCTGGGATTGTTCCTATAGAAATGTGTGTCAGTGCTGGGCTTCTCTTCAAATCAGATCGGTATTTAAACCTGTTATTTCAAATGTATGTCCTCAATAAAACCAGGCTTGCGTGCCGATACCTCACCTTGAAAATCAGGCTTGATTTCAAAACAGTTTTCTATACAAGACAGCATAGCATGTACAGCGTCATTGGTTCACAGGGTGATTGATGGGGAAAGGATACGCCGGAAGTCTTTTGCACGGGGTCACTAGAATGAAGGATGCATGCAAGGGGGCATGTGTTCAGGGAGTCCAGTACGGAATTATGAATTTAACAATTTGAACTGTGTCATCGTGATCCAGATGAAATGCTGAAGCAGGAAAGATTACCATGTGAAATAAGCTCGGGTGCTGAGCCAATACTCACAATAGTACAATGTAAAATTATAATATTATTGTTAATACTCGATAGTCGAGGGAATGGGATAAGAGAAAAGTCTGAAGAAACAAATTACTGTCACCACCATGACTCGAACCAGGAACCTTCACTTGAGGCCAGCGATGCTCTAGCCACTGAGTTATGCTGTAGGTGTCGTCCCAGCAGAGACCGTTCAACACTTTCTTCAGACTTCAAAATTCACTTCCGAGTCCTGTGAAACTACACAGGCTGGTGGTACGCAGCCCTCACTGTACCCACACACTTAGTATTAATATCAGTACTTCAAGTACTTCAAGTACATTAAGTACATTAAGTACGTTAAGTAGTATTGCTGTAAGTCTACAAACTTTAGGCCCATTCAAATTTCAGCCTCCCATTGCTGAAACCCATTTCGGCCGCATCAAATTTTCGGCCTGTGCTGCTGCCACCTGTATACACTGTCACACTGAACCTTGCAAAACAAAATTTCGGCCAAACATGGCCAGGTCGAAAATAGCCAAAAATAAATAATCGCCGGAAACTTGTTGACTTGCAGTATTCAGGTTATGGTATATACTATCAGAGGTGAAATAAATTGATTAATTTTTTTTGAAGGATTGGGAGAACTTCAAATTTCAAAGGATCACTACGGTCGGGGAAGTGAACTGCCTGAAAAGAGAAAAAGGGCCAGATTTCTTGTCATGGCTCGGCAATACTCTAACAATCTGAGCTATGGGTCAAGGCCGAACCTAGAAGACGCTGACAAGTTTTTCACTGCAAAGACAACAGTCAGTTTCTGGAACGTACTGCCAGAGGTGAAATATAGTGATTAAATTCGGAAAACTTAAACATTCAAAGGATCAGTCGGGGATCAGTCAGGGAAGTGAACTGCCTGAAAATAGAAAAAAATATGCCAGACCCACCAGGATTCGAACCTAGCCTGTCATGAGCAATGCTCTAATCAACCGAGCTATTTCAGGAAGGCTCCGGGTTCGAGTCCTGGTTGGTCTGGCATTTTTTTCTCTTTTCAGGCAGTTCGCTTCCCCGCCTGATCCCGACGGAAATTTGAAGTTCTCCCAATCCTTTCATTCGCCTCGAGCTGTACGTTCCAGAAACTGACCGTGGTTGGTCCCCTGGGGGAGAGAAAAAGACCGAATTGCCATCAGTATGTGCGACACGTGTTGTGAGTTGCCTTTGGAGTGAAAACACTTGTCAGGGCCTTTTACATTCACCCTGGTCCCATAGCTCAGATGATTAGAGCATTGCTCATGACAAGCAAGGTCCCGGATTCGAGTCCTTGTGGGTCTGGCAATTTTTTCTCTTTTCGGGCAGTTCACTTGCCCGACCGATCCTTTGAATTTTGAAGTTCTCCCAATCCTATCAAATTTCATCCCTTTACTTCACCTCTGGTAGTACGTTCCAGAAACTGACCGTGGTTCGTCCCGAGGGGGGAGGGCAAAAGACTCAAGTGCCAACAGTATTGTGGCCCGTGTTGTGAGCTGCCTTTGGAGTGAAAAAACTTGTCAGGGCCTTCTACGTTCACCATGGTCCCATAGCTCAGATGATTAGAGCTGTGCTCATGACAAGCAAGGTCATGGGTTTGAGTCCTTGTGGGTCTGGCATATTTCTCTTTTCAGGCAGTTCACTTCCCCGACTGATCATTTAGATAAAATGTGCCGAATGTTTTTGTTCTCTTCTCCGTAAGGAAATGTGAGGAATTATGAATAATTTAAATCGAATAACTATAATGGCAATGTGCTGCAGGGACCAGAGGGAGACTGTGAACAAATGTGTTCATCAGATTTGATTAAATCGAACCCTTATAGAGTATCCAAGAATGAGAAAGGACATTATGGTGTTAGTCCTGGTGAGTGTGAGTAATGCCGCATGACGTGTCCACTCTCCTTTGCTCTCATTTTCTTCTTCTTCCTTTCTTTTCAAATCATTTATTTTTGTTCACCCTCCCTGAGTTAATATACTGTTAGAAACCTACGTTCCTGTATCATCCTGGCTTTTTGGAGCTGATTTAAAAAGAATGATTTGTTGTTCACTGTACCTTATTTGATCTGTTGGGCCAGTCATTCTGAGCTCCGCTGACGAGATCTTACAAGGTCTAAACAGCTAGCTCTCCGGAGATCAAGCCGTATTGATTAGAGGCGATTTACACGACGGCAGTGCATCCCAGCGGCAAGTGAAGCACGTGATCCCGAGACCTTGCCGTGACCCAGGAAAAACGAAAATCCAGTCACATTACAGTACCTGTAGTAAAAAGCAGTCCACAGGATGCCACAGCATGCATTCCCACCCCAGCCCCATCACGGTACCGGGACCGTACCGGGATAGCTCGAGGAGCAGCTTGCGCCAAAATTTGAGTGCACGGGACTGAATCTCCATGGCAGCATCACGCACGGGATGAATCCTGCCGTCGTGTAAATGGCCTCTTATTATATGGATTAGGAGCATCTGCACCTTGATCCAAGAGGGTGGTGGCGTTCCTGCGGATGCGGAAAACTCGGCCTTTGGCCAGGTCTCACGCGAACCGTGAATTGTTTTTCAATTATATGGATTATTTGCATGCTGTGTGTGTGTTGTGGTGCAGGTGAACTGCTCCAAGGACAGTCTGTATCTGAGAGAGCATCAGCTTATCAACTGGCACTACAGAGACATCGAGTAGCAATCAAAAACGTCTCCCATATTGATGTGATTGATTGCTTTGAAAACTTGCGTGCTGAAGATCACATCAGCATTGAGTGCTTGAAGGACAGTCGAGCCACTGGCAAGTCAAGTGGAAGCAAGGAAGCCATCAGTCACCTGTGCACTGTCTTGGAAGATCTCTGCGACACTGCCATGTGCTACGTCGTGGAGGATATCCTGCCGTCGCAAGGTCTGTCACAGCTCGTGGAGACATTCCGTGTGTGTCCTGGTCCTGGAAAGTGTTCACTACATCGCAATGACCTGCATCCTGTATCAGTGTGTTCCAGTGACAAGACACTGTCCATGCAGACTAGTGTTGATGCCTCCCAGACTGGACTGGTCATGCCAAGAGTAACGTTAGTCAACTTGAGACTGGGGTAAGAACTCTACTCTCTACTCTACTTGACTCTGTTTGGTGATTGTACAGTGAAGAATACCTTAGCAACCAGTACAATAAGAAACAACAACATCTGTGTTTGGAAAACATATCGTATCGATGCACAGACCAGAATATTATATCAACATTCATTTCAAGACTGTGAACTTGCAGTATAGAAAGCTGTTCTCTGTGGACAGAAGTGAGCTGTGAAATTACCCAGCAGGCTTTTTCTGAACACAGAATAGTTCCCATCAATCTGTCTTCATCTCCTTTGCAGATGTCTGAGCTTCACCAGGAAGTACTGCGTTCAAGCTATGTGCAGTTGAAGTGCAGTTTGGACGTAGAAGAGGGCATTCTGGACCGTCTCTATGCAGAGAGCATCATCACCCAGCGCTTCTGCAAGAAACTCCGTGCTATGGATGATCGTGAAGACCAGGTATTACATGTACTGGTGTACATTTCTATAACAATTAGTACTGCTGGCCACCGAAGAATGGGGGGGGGGGGGGGGGGGGATCAGGGTTCCAACCTAGCCCGTTCTTATTTTTAGCAAACACAGCAGTTTTGTTCTTATTCGATGGTACAGTCATACATGAACATTTATGTAGAGTTATACCTCTCAGTGTACATTATCCTGCATATCACGGTTTCTGTTCTTATCCGCAAAAAAATCCAGCCTAGACCTTGGGGAAATTCTAGCCTAGCCGTTCTTCGGCGGTCCGTTCTTCGGCGGTCCGTTCTTCCGCGCCCGGCAGTGCTGTACCCATACAACTATATTTAAACATAGTCACAGAGAGTGTCACATTGCTGTTTCATTTACAACTATATTTAAACATAGTCACAGCGAGTGTCACATTGCTGTCTCATTTACAACTATACAGAAGACACATTTGGGTGGGCATATCCATTCCAGGGACATAGCAAATCAGAAAGAGTAGCACCACTAAATTTCAACATAATGCCCCATTTTATACGATTTTTGTGGAATTACGGTGGCTGTTGGGAATGTATGTTTTCATTTTTGCATGTTAAGCTGCCACACTTGGTATGTGTGCAATAAAAAGTGGCCAATGCGCAATGGCAGACTTAAGCAAGCATTGTATTTTATACGTATACTCAAACATTCCTGGCTTACGTGGGGGAAGACCGTGTCCGTAACTGTCAGCTGCCTGTGTCTCTGAAAAACTCTGAACTGCAATCTAGTCATGTACTACATTAGAAATTCAAGTTGTTTTTTCACCTTTCTTTCAAACAAATGAATACTCTGAAAAACTCTGAATTGCAATTATGACTGTCATGTACAGTACTACATTAGAAATCCATGTTGTTGTTTTCTGCACCTTGCCCTCAAACAAATAAATACTGTGCTGGGGCTCCCCGCGTGCTAGTTTGTACGTGAACTGAGTGTGTGGGTTACAGTGAGTGCTGCGTCTCACCAGCCTGTGTGGATGCACAAGAAGCGAGAGTTTTGAAAGTCTGAAGAAAATGTTGAACGGTCACTGCTCGGATGACCACCACAGCATAGCTTGTGTAGAGCATCGCTGGCCATAAGCGAGGGTCCCTGGTTTGAGTCCTGGTGGTGATAGTCATAATTATATTTCAGACTTTTTCCGTTTGGTCCTTTCCTGTAACTAATGAATGATGTCGTTGTTGTGTACTGTGGTAACTGGCTCTATTTTATTGGAATGTTGTGTCTCAGGCGTCTGTCTTCTTGGAAGCACTACCAGGCTGTGGCAAACAGGCATTCCGTCAGTTTGTATCCGCTCTGAAAGAGAGTGAGAAGCTGGCCCACCAGGAGCTTGCTGATCTCCTCCAGTTGAAGCTACTGGAGATATCCTCTGTAAGCATACTGTTGTTCAGTGGTATGACAATATTTCCATCTGTGCTTCCTTTTTTTATCACCAGCTGTACTTGTCAGAGGATTTTCATTTTCAAGGCTGCATTGTTGTTTGTTTGGTCCAATCCCTTACTTGAATTGGGAAAGCAATTTCAAGGAAGCACACTTCTGCACCAATGAGGCCAGACTCATGGGTATGTGTGTGTGTGGGGGGGGGGGGGGGGGGAGGGGGTGCGCAGAGCAAGCAGCTAACTACATGTATGATTTGTGGACATGTTGAGTAGACTCTTGCCATCCATTATGTTCTCATAGTCTCTCTCCCCCCCCCCCCCCACACACACACTCACACAGACATCCTATGCTCTGCTCTATGTCCAGTTTGGCAGAGATGCGGCATGGTTGGGTAATGTGGTACTGTAAAAGCAGAAATTTTCGGTGGTGTTTTATTTTCGGTAACTTCGGTGCCGAAATTTTTACCGAAAATAAAACGCACCGAAAATGCCGGTATAGTACTAGTACACTAACCTGGAAAACGGGTTTACCGAAAATTTCCCTCCACGGAACCGCCGATTTTGGAGAGTATCCCGAAAATATTACACCACCGAAAATTTCTGCTTTTACAGTAGTCCAGTATGCAAATGTACGGAGAGTCTCAGAGAACGTTAGAACGAAGTTCGTGATGTACAATGTTGTTTGAAGCCGTCAACATGAGGCTTAGTACGTGTATTGTTCCAGGACTCAGTGCATTGATGAATGTCTCTTTGTGTGTGTGCTTTCGTCACAACAGGGTCTGTGAAGGTTACTCTGCTGGTGGACCCGCCATGAGCTGCTATGTACCCAAAACGAGCTGTATCAGTGAATGGTGTGTGCAGACTCTACTGAACGGTGGTAATGTTTCTGATCAAGTTTGTTCAGGTATTCCAAGACATTTTCCAGTTGTCACGGTTTTTACTCTGTCTTGAGATTTTGTCTGGCATTCTAACTGGTGTAGATATGATTGAATTACACTTTCCTTCATGCTGTATTATTGCTAGAATTAATTGCTCAGTGAAATAGTTGAAAATGCAAGTTAGAGTGTAATGAAATTCACACTCTACTGCACTGCTAGTTTGTATTTGCTATCTATAATTTTATGTATGCTTTGCTTTGTTGCACGAAAGCGTGATCCCTTTTGGGATACGTTTGGAGCTGCTCAGCTGCGCTGAAGAGCCTAGCTGTTGGCGCCTTGATGATTATTATCATTCTATGAGTTTATTGATTTTACAACCTTTTATGCGGTTTCTCTGCGCATGATTCGAATTTGCAAGAGTACTGTCTGTTTCATGATTTCAATACTATCGAATATCCTTGATTCACCTTCCTCACTAGCAGAGCTTATAGTTTTCTCTCTCTTGAGATTAGCCTATGTTCTTTCTGCGCTTGTAGTCTGGGTAGTCGAAAACAACGTACTCAGCGGCACATTCACGTCTGAAAGTTGCATGGCCTGAGATTATGGAGAGTTACTCGGATTGCAAGAAGTTTGTACTGACGTATACTGTATGTGGGCTTGTACGAGTTGTACAGTATTGTTTGATGGGCTATGCTTGACGGCATCACAAGGTTATCACGAAACTGAACTATCACAATGTCAGAGGAATACCTCATTAGTGCATTGGGAATATGGCTGACTGTACTTGCTCAATATGATTGTATACTAGTTGTTAGTTGGACAATGGCGGGTATTGAGTGGAGTTAGTACAGTGTACATTCTACTTGTACATGTACTGTTGGTCGCTGGGTCTGCCTAGTAACCTACATGAAAACTGCTCTTATTTTCATGTACGTGTATAGTGTACTCAATGCACATTTGAGTCACCGTGTATACATTGGTATGCTGTGCGTGGTGAAATTCTAGCCTGGCCGTTCTTGGGCGGCCGACAGTACTCACCTCTTTTGGTTTCCTAAGAGATTTAGTTTTGGGAGGCGTTTGCGAGTATGTACAGCATACCGCCTGTCTCCATGTATGTATGACTTGTGTAGAGACGGTGGGTTCCTGGTTTTTGTTTGTGTTTTCAGCCTATTGAAGGGCCAGTCCCGAAAATTTGGTGGAATGTTTTTTCGCAGTGAAGAGACCTTTGTTGGGGTTGGAGAAGTGAATCATACTGTATGTTTCAGTGGTTGCCTTGGAGTTTAGGGAAAATTGATAATTAGAAAATCATTTGGGTGTACCGTGTAGCCGATGCTGTATACATCATTACATGTATCCCATGCAAGTGTTGGTTCCTTTTTCGTGTCATTTTCACAATACATGATTCACCATAGCAACGATTGTCCTTACCCCGCCCAGTTACCAGTGGTTACCATTGTTGTTGAGAATGCAGAGACTCTGCGAATCTCACGCGCAATGAATGCATGCCCCCGCCCCCCCCCCCCCCCCCCCTAAGGCCAAAACGAAGGCGCCAAACCGGCTCTGTCCGTAACGACCTTCGGATCGATCCACCGGGCCGCGGGACGCGGTAGCCACCAACGACCCAAGCCGGCCACTACGGAAATCATCATACATAGCTGTTCCCGTAGCATCTGCACTGCACCTGCGTCGGTTTGTGTGTGTGTGTGTGTGTTTGGTGAAGACGCAGTTATTACCGGTCCGTTTATCTGCAAAGAAGAGGTACAGCACCATTGTGTTTGATAGCAGTTTTGTACACTGTAGTCTCCTGGGCATACCCTTGTCCCAGAACCAGAGAAAGTAGACCTGTTCAGTATCATGGAAAAAAATCATTGTCGGTTCGTGTGTCCGTCGGTGACAACGAGGTCTAAACGACAACGGTAACATTGTTGCGTTGTTTTCTCTCGAGTCAGAGTGATGTGTTGATGATAAGCCACTAGTGCGACTTGTGCTGGAAAACCGAAGCTGCACTGTATCTGCAGCTATCCAGTATTTACGGTAAGGTACAGTGCATGTATACACTCTGTAAAAATGTCACATGACTAAGAGGGGTAGACCTTGAAACCTTCAAGCAGTACAGTCAGTTATTGCCAGGCTGGCAAGATGGGTTGGAGTTATCCTATGTGGAGAATTGATTTAGATTTTCAAGACGTGAAGAAAACCCGTGTTAGCGATACCTACATGTAGTTGTATTGCAAGTCAAATTCACTCTATGGAACGTACTACAACACTAGTGCAGAGATATAGGGAAATGACAAAGGCAAAAGATAATAATTAAAGAAAATGAAAAGGACCAATGAACTACAAGTTACGCTATTGTCCACTAACACCACCAGTTACTAAACAGTCAGACAGTTAGTTGTAGAACGTCAGTACAGTCGGTCAGTGGCGTGCAATGTTATCGCAGGAGCTGATTGTTTAGTAACTGGTTGTGTTAGTGGACATTATAGCATAATTTTTAGTTCCTAGGTCCTTTGTATTTTTCCATTAATTAATCCTTGGCTCTCCATCCGAGTCCGATCTTGCAAAGGATAATGCGCTTCACAACTTCACAAGGGCCATCGCAGTTCTACTGACTTCATCTTGAGAAGAGCCTTGATCTTTGAAGGGTGTCGGCAATCCTACGGATGTGGAAAACACGGCCTTTAGCCGAGTCTGACGCGAACCGTGATTTGTTTTGTTTTGAGAAGAGCATTCAACTGCACCTGCTAAGGACATTCCTGACCCTGAACACTGTCCTCAAACTGATGAATACTTCTCCTGTACGCAGGTACTTGTAAATTCGTCTCTATTGTAATATTTCACGAAACCTTATACATGAACCTCTTGCAGGGCGTCGGACACGCTATGGTCACTATGGTATTGACCGTACCACTCTTCACCCCGGGTACCCTCTGAATCAATAAAACACACTGATCTGGGATCTAAATTTCGAAATTTTCATAGGAACCACCCCAACCCCACGAGTAAATTGTACTTCAGGTGGCTGACAGTACCATCATAAAATACATTCCAACACCCCTGCCTCTTGTCATTCACACAGTGTTTACATACAATGGAGTTCACCATGAATGCAGTGAATGGGATTTTCTGATTTTGACCTCTTTGGTTGTGAGTCTGATCAGTGATCAACTCACCTCCCATCCCTTTAAAATCTGCATCTGCACCCTTGATCCATAGAGGGTGGTGGAGTTCCTGCGGATTCGCAAAACTCAGTCAAACTGAGTATCACTTGAACCATGAATATCTTTTACCCATGATGTAGTGAAATGATTGTGTGTACATATGAACAGTAGTGGTGTAGAACAGAGGACTGTGTTGTAGGTGAAGTGTGTTTAGTTTACCAAAAATGAATTATGTGAGTTTTACATAATACTCGTATGTGGCTATGGAGAACCAGCAGTGACAGTGTAAGGAGTGGTGGTATGGTGTACGTGGTACATGGCAATATTTGTCTCCATACACATGGGTCAATCATCTCTATGCTGTGTGTGTATGTGTGTGTGGGGGGGGGGGGGGAGTGTTAACATAATGATATGTGTATACATGTACCTGTATTGTGTTACACTGTACAGCCGGTCTTCTGGCTGATTGTCATTCATACTTGAATTCTCTTTCAGCAAATTCATCGACGGTCAGAAGAGGCATATTCATGTTCTTGTTTTTGTTTTGTTTTGTATAACTTTGTGTTTAGAACGATGCCGTTTGACTTCTGGGATGATGTTGTCCTGCCAGCATGGCATGACATAGCTCGATGCAAGATTTCACATGAAGCATTCGACAAAGTCGTCATGGCAATTGATGAACATCATCCACGTATCAGCAGAGATCCCATGCTGAAGAGCAATGTGATGAGTTTGAAGGCCAATTACACCACCATTAGTAGTAGGAGTTCAGCAAAGGGGAGTTTAGTTGCATATGTTGCCTGGGTTATTACCTACAAGAGAGGACCATCAGGCGTCCAGAGCTTCATTCAAGACATCCAGTCTTCATCGTTCCCGTCCAATGTTGCGGTTGGTGGATTGCTGGAGAGAATTTGGAAAGCTCGTAAGAATG